AGCATCAAGAAAACAAAGATTCTCACTGTGGGGCCAATTGGCAGCATCATGAGAGACAGTGAAGAGATTGAGATTGTGAACAACTTCAGTTTGCTTGAATCCACAATCAGCACTCTTGGTACCAGCAGCCAGGAAATCAGAAGCCAAATTGTATTGGAAAAATCTGCTGTCAGGGACCTCTCCAGAGCACTAAAGAGCAATGATGTCAGTCTGAAAACTAAAGTGTGCCTGATCTGGGCCATGGTCTTTGCAATTACTTACTATGCAACTGAGAGCGGGACAGTAACTAGGAATAATAGAAAGATAGTTGATGCCTTTAAACTGTGGTGCTGGAGAAGAGTATTGAATATACCATGGATAGGTTCGAACAAACAGGTAAAACCAGGCTGCTCCTTGGAGGCAAGGAGCATATTGCAAGGAGGGACCAGTCCTTGGAGAGGGATATCGTGCTTGAGAGGGTGGAGGGACAACACAAGAGAGGAAGACCCTCGATGTGGTATATTGACTCAGTGACTGGAGTAATAAGGGTAGGTGTGTCAGAGACAGTAATGTTGGCTTAGGATTGAGCAAAGTTCAGAGGTGTTGTACATGGGGTCACTATGACTCACAAGCAACTCGATGGCACATAACAAAAACATGCAGTTTGAAGAAGAAATTTCCTCACATTGGAGTAAACCATAGAAACTTGGTATCCTTTCTTCAGAGAATAATATAAGTCATTCTCTCAAACAGATGTTGGTAAGTGTTTGGAGGTCTAAAGAAATATTCAAATCAAGGGGGAAAGTATGTAATGAGAATCACACAAAACACAGAACCTCAACCATTCTGGTTAAGTTGGTGATCTCAATATTTCAGTCAATAGTGTACAGATTTTGCATATTGGAGGGAAAATCTACCTTAAATTGTTACTTATAGATGCTTTAAAGATTTTCAGCAAGATTTTTGACATCTTCTCCTGAGCAGTTAACTGACTCTAAAAACCCACCAGACAGTCAGCTGTGGGTCAGTTCTTACTTGATGGTACACAACAACAATAATACATTTGTAAGATGGACCTTGGCAGAAAGCAGAGAATACCAGAAGAGTGTCTATCTGTGCTTCACTGGCTATGCAAAGGCTTTTGACTGTGTGGATCACAACAAGCTGTGGCTGACTCTGAGAAGGATAGGAATCCCAGAACATTTGACTGTGCTAATGTGAAACCTATATTTGGAACAAGAGGCAATCACAGAACAAAGCAGGGAGACACTGGATGGTTCAAAATCAAGAAGGGGTGTGTCAGAGATGTATCTTGTCTCCATACCTTTTCAATCTGTATGCAGAACAGATCATCCGAGATGCTGGGCTGTATGAGGAGGAAAGTGGCATCAGGATTGGTGGAAGAATCATCAACAACCTGCGTTATGCAGATGACACAACCCTGCT